TATGGAGATTTGCATTATGTTGAGGCACTTACTTCTCTCAAACAACTCCAGGCGTTTTCTCGCGACCACTTTTTTGAAACTGGTTCAAAACTGTTTTAAAACAGTACATTCTCGCGATAAACCCATGACGTCACGTCAAAATTGGTTGAAACTGTTTCGAAATACAATCCAATCCACGTTTTCAAACCATTTTTTCGCGCCGAGAAATTATGACGTCCTGGTGACATTACTTAAACCAGTTTTGAAAAATGTTTTGAAACATTTGAGACGCGAGAAAACGCCGTTAGGCTTATCGGCGGCTATCGGCCTCGTTTCTGGTCAGTGTTGCCAGAGTTTTTCGACGACATTCCTTCAACTGATTGGCTAAAACCCTTCATATCCTTCAAAACTGTAGAACAGTGGCATGTGGCCGGTACAACGAAATAATTTACCAGAAAAAAACACTAACATGCAAGGATAATACGCACTTCTAAGGATTGCTTATCGGCCTCGTTTTTGGTAATCGCCGCCATATTGGTTTGTAACCATTTTCGACGTCATAACTAAGTCGTCAGTTGTTTGCACTAGCGGTCGAAGTTTAGAAGAAGATGAAAACGAAATTTAAAAAAGAATTGTTTTAGAATATTAATTGATATAGTGAAACCAAGTATTCATAAGGCAAAATCCAGCGGAATTATAACCTGTAGTGCAAACAGCCTACGTCAAGGCGAGAAAGGACATGCTGCCTACGTAACAACTGGTGATTTGGCGTGGTGGGAGGCTTTAGACTTGTTCCACACAGGCCTCATGAGGATAGGCTATGCTGGTAGTGTGTATTATCCTTGACTAACATGAACGAAATTTCTTTTATTGAATTTTGAACCTAAAGCCTGGGCTACAGCACACTAACTGACGCAGTGGCGTGGCGAAAATTGGCGTTTCGTATTTTTTCCTATGCAACTAATTAATTCGTTTTAATAAAAATAGTATATTGTTGTATTAGGAGTAGAAGCTTTACTTTTTTGTGCTGAAGCAGTAGGTTTGCGAGCCGAACGTAGTGAGGCTTGCAATACTGCTGAAGCACAAAAAAGTGCTTCTACTCCGTATGCAACACGCTATTTTTTCTCCAAACTAATGGGGTAAGCTCGGAGGTAACTGGATGGTTGAGCGGCAGTAAAAGTACGAGCGGCACTAAAAGTACTTTTGCTGCCGCTGGGGTTGCCAAGCAGCATAGAAATTAAACTTCTACCACCTCGACAGGTGTTAACCTGCTGGATTTGCCTCGCAGCATAGAAATCAAATTTCTGACATCTTGACATGGGTTAACAAAGTGACGTTTTTTTGACGTTTGCAGAAAAATTAAATTTGTTGGTGAAATGATTGGAATATTTGCTAAATATACAATTTGCCTCAAAATCCTTCAAATTCGGATAAAAACCTTCAATCCTTCAGTAGTCAAAATTTTAGACCAAAACTCTTCATATTGAAGGAAATCCTTCAATTCTGGCAACACTGTTTCTGGTAATCGCCGCCATATTGATGTGTCATTTCTGACGTCATTACCAAGTCGTCAGCTGTTTGCACTTTGGTTTGCACTAGAGGTTGTAGTTTAGAATTTAAATGTATGATGAAAGATATTATTTAATTTCAAATAATTGGTGAATATATAAGTGAGCCAGGCCCCCGCCGCCATATTCTTGCCAATTTTCAATATGAACATCTAGGAGTTCAAAAAGCAAAGGACAGCAATTGACACCACTGTAGCTAATATGACAGTTTCCACTTACCATGGGAATATGGCCCAATCAATGAACTATAGCTAAAAACTGGAATGCGCACACATTGCCATATCTGCCAAAAAAATGTAGCCATGAAAGACAGATGCCACAAAGGGGAATGTTGTTTTTTTCTGTTGCTCGCTGTCATATGACGTTTTCGAAAGTTTTGTCATATTTCCCTTCACAGGTTTCATCAATTGGAATACGTGTTGGAAGCAATTTTCGCCATTAAACATAATGAGTGCGACAAAAACAGGTATCCCCTCCGCAGCAGCCGCACTAGGCTTCACGTTCGTCCTTATGTGTTAGCATTCCAAGACCTGTCTCGCATAAATAGAAAAAGAGAGCTTAATTGTAATAAATAAAAGTTAGAAAGTAATGAAAGATGACATGCGCGCGCAAGTCGTAGGTTCAATGTAGCCAGATTGTATTGTTGCAGAACAAATGTAGACAATACAAATCGAACATTATAACATTAAAGAAGTGATATAGTGTCAAGTGTTTTATAACGCCTTAAATCAGACAAAAGAAGCGCTTGAAAAGTGTATGTTAACATCGTTTGCACTTTTATTTTGATAAATGTTTCATTCGGCAACATCGCACAATGAAATTGCCAAGGAATACGTCAAGTATAATCTAACAAAACCTTAAACGACACTGCGGTGAGTTCAAGTAATATGTAAAGTATTAGTTTGCTCTTTGTCGAATTAGACGTTACAAAGAAAGAAGGAACGATTCACTCTGAACTGGCCCCTGAATAAGAATATGACGCAAACCTGTAACAAACTTGCTTCTCATTGGATGCTCACCTGCAGCCTACAAGCGACGCGCGCAGTCCAGGTAATAGGAGATCGGTCTATTATACAGTATATTTGCATCAGCAAATTTGCAGTTCTGCAAATATGGCCGACTTGCATGTGTGCTCTATTTGCAGGAACGAGCAAATTACAGAAAAAATCTGCAATTCCGTCATATTTATCGAGAAAAAGTGTTTGGGCGCTACTGATTTACTTTTTTTAAATGTCAAGGTTTGCAGGCCACTTACAAATGCATTATACTTCTGTAATGCCTGTATTATATCTGTGTATTTATTCATGTAGTTCAGGGTGACAACCAAAAAACTTCAAACGCAACATTAATCAGCATTATGAAAAACAAAATAATGTTGGCACCCTGGGGTCGTATTTTCGAATATTCTCGCATACGAAGTTTGATACGATTTCGAATGCTCCCCATTTAATTTACATTGCTGCAGGTACTCGAATAAATTCGAAAATACGACCCCTGAACTACATGAATAAATACACGGAAAAATACACAGATGTAATACGGGCATAATAATACGGAAACTCAGACAAATATGCATAAAGCAAAAGCTCGCGGAATCATAATTTGTCGTGCGAACAGCCTACGTCAAGACGAAAAAGGACATGCTGTGTACGTCACAACTGGTGATTTGGCATGGTGGGAGGCTTCAGATTTGTTCCACAGAGGTCTTATGAGGATAGGCTATCCTGTAGTAGTAGTGTGTATTAACCTTGGTTGGATATGGACGGAAAATTTTCATTTTTCTTGATGAAAAAACAGATTTTCATTGTAAATTACCAAAAATTCAATTCCTTGCACCAGAAAAAAACGTATAAAACTACCAAAATGTAAAAGGGCAATCCAAAAGACTTGTCGAATCACAAATTTAATATGGCGGCAACGGTCAAACATCTGTGATGTGTTTGTCTTTTGTGTTTATATACTACGAAACTGAAACTACAAAAATTATCTTTCTCAAGCAATAGACCATTTTTATGATAACAAAACGTCACGGTCGTCTGAAGGTGAATAAAATCCTTCATTGTTTAACCATGGCCGCAATGGGAATTGGTCGAATTGAATTGCCCAACTTCAAGATGGCCGCCCAAAAAGCCTACTTTGATTGTTTTCGAAACGTGAAGTTATTTTCTATGAAAAATTATACAAAAACCATTTGTTTTGCACTAAAAATTTGGAAAATGCCAATCATACCTGCTGACAGCAGAACCGATACGACAGCCATATATGAGGAAAAACATGAAACCCAAAACGGATATGGATTTTTATTTGAATTATGTTTTAGTGCGGAAAGTGCCAATTTTCCGCACGCGATTGCTGTTGGTAGGGAAAAGAGACTTGCCGTACGAGTTAGGACAGGAAAGTTATTATTATTATAAAAACTGCGGTACTGTAGTGCGGAAAAGTAATACCTACTTTCATATGACCTAAAATGCATTCGAAAAGTTGAAGTTTTGCGCACGCTCGTAGAGAATAATAATAGGAATAGGATATATCTCAAATTCAAAAATACAGATAAAATTATGTTTTTTTGAAGTTTCTATGTCGGATAGGACCGAAATGGGACATATTTTTTCGGCCCGAGTTGGAGTTTTTATACCGGCCTACCCAGTGGGAGATTTATAATTTGCCCTGCCCGTCTTTTTTTAGTCTTTAGACATTCAGACGTAAAAAAGACGTCTTTAAGACTTTGTGTGCTGTCTGGATAGAAATAAATTAGAAAGAAAACGGAAATTCAAAAGCCTGGAGGGTAAAAAATTTACACTACTAAAGAAAAGAAAAATTTAAGGAAAATTGATCATTTTTCTTTTCTATTCCAGGCGCTTTGAGCGACTTTTTACCCACTAGTGTGTAAAGTGAGTAACTTTATGCACTACTGCGTGAAAATATATTTCCAAACTCCTCCACGCGTGTGAAAAGTGTTATTTTCAACACTAGTTGCACAATTTCTATTTACGCTTCTTGAAGAGTACGTAAAGTAGTGTTATTTTCAAGATTTGGTGCACAGCACAATATACTATTTACGTTCCTTGAAGATGAAGAGCACGTAAAGGAAGTACATTACGCACGGTGGTAGTAGAAAAAATATATTCAAATTCAACAAGAACATTTAAATTTGAGCGCCTCATCGCACAGTGTCGCCATCTATGATGTACAAATTATACTTTATGTGCTGCCCTCTCTTATCATATAATATAATTTTTCATTACTATCATTGAGGTAGAATAAAATATTATAAATAAATATTTATTCTACCTCAATGGCAAAAATAGAACTTTTTAAATATTACATTGCTCTATAAATAGAGCCTAATTTACATTAGTGCTCGAAGCTACTAGTTAGAGTTAATAGAGCCAAACCAAAAGAAAACGCCTAATAATTGTTCTTCCTTTTTACTCTAAAAATGACATTTGACAACTTCCTTTGCGTGTTGTAGAAAGAAAAAGTCATCCACCATCTTTCTTTTCATACCTTTTCAAACATGGTAAGCAGATCTATTGCACATTTTTCTTAAAATTTTACAGTAATTAAACAGTTTCCACTCATTAAAACACAAATTAATCAATCACTAAACACCAATCAATAGATTTAAAACACAAAAATCAACTGATTCATTAACCCTAAAATTCACATGTGGTCACATTTTCTTATTTACTAATTTTTGTAGGTTTTCGAAAGGTTCGTGGAGACGGGCCGCGTGGCCGTCGTATCGGGGGGCCCCAACAAAGGAAAACTCGTCAGCATCGTCGACGTCATCGACCAAACCAGAGTGAGTACCCAGTTTCGGTTTGAGGTTATGTTTCCTTGTTCGTTGAAGCCCTAGGGCTTGATTTTCAAAAAATGATGATCCCAAGTTTGATAGGAATTGCCGACTGATACATACATGAAGCCTAACTTTATCTGAAATATGTTTTCAAAATTCAATTCCTTATCAAACACATTTGTTTTGTCTTTTGTAAAATAAGAGTTTTTTTTTTCTATAGGTTTTAGTCGATGGTCCAGAAACCAAAGTCCCAAGGACTCAAATTAGAATAAACCAGTTGCATTTGACCAAGTTCAAGATCAACCATCCGTTTACTGCTTCTACAAGGGTTGTACGCAAAGCCTGGAAAGATGGAAAAGTTTTGGAAAACTGGGAAAATTCAGTTTGGAGCAAGAAAATTGCTGCCAAAGAAAAGGTAAGAATTTTCATGCCTAAACTACTAAAGAGTTTTTCCCAAAATTTAATATGATGATCCTTTTTTTGATAGGAATTGCCGGCTGACACATATATGAAGCCACTTTTAATAACTGATTAATTTCCAATAATAATAATTATAATTCAACCACAATTTTTATAGAAATTATTTGAAAAATTTGTTTGTTTCAGAGAGCCCAACTAACAGACTTTGACAGGTTCAAGCTGAGGAGAGCAAAGACACGCAGGAACAAGATCAGGACAGTTTCGTTTTTGGCACTTAGGAAAGCTGCTTCCAGAAATGGAACTTTGTACGGCAAGAAAAGGATGGCCAAAGGAGGCGACAAACCTAGGCCATCGAAAAAGGCTAAGGTAGACAAGAAGAAGCCTGCTGCTAAGAAATAAGAGACAAATAAAAATGTTTAAAAAAATGTTTGTGTTTTATTGTATCCTGTTAACACAGTTACTATTAATTTGATCCACATTGAAATTAACTTTCACAAGACTTGTTAAGAATATACAGTGTCCCACATAATGTTTGCTACATGGGGAAATTTTTTATTTATCTATTATGAATAGGAATTGCCAAAAATACAACAATAAATACTTCATTTAAACAACAATTATTCAATAAATAAAATTAAGTAAACATTTTTTTCAATTTGTCTTTATCCTGTAAATCTTTGTCTCTCTGTAAATCCTCCAGCAGCAAAAGTTCCCTTTTGGCCAAAACCTCTAAGGATTTGTCCAACTCCATCACCTTGTCCAAATCTTCTCTGGCCTCTTTAGGATTCCAAGCGGCAATGTGAGCCTTTGCCCTCCTAAAATAGGCTTTCACGTTGTCCTTGTCAAACCTAAGGACTTCTGTGCAATAAGTTATAACCGAATAGTAGTCGCCTTCGATGAGCTTGCATTGGGCAAAGTTCAGCAAAATGGGCAGTTTTTGTTGGTTTAGTTTGTTCCACTCTATATCGTGAGGTTTTTCTTTGATCATCAACTGCTCTAGCATTCCAATGGCTTTTGCATAAAGCTTGGCAGCTTCTTGGAAATTTTTCTTGCTGTATTCTTCATTGCCTTGTGCTTTTAGTTTCGGAATCATATCCAGCTGTTCAGTTTCATCCATTTGCCAAATTTCCTTGTCGTACTCTTCAGGTTGTTGAATACTGACAATTTCCATTGTGAATTCTAAGTCTTGAGGATTTTTTAGAAGTTGGTTTAAGTCAGGATGACCGATTCCTTCTTCGCTTTGCAAGGCCATTGCACAGTGATGGTGCGAGTGACGTTCTTCTTTAGGTTTGTGCATTTCTCTTAGGGTTTTTGATACAAAGGGGTATTGCATTACTAGCTGAAAAATGAACTTGTTGATTGAGCTACTAGTGGTTGGGTAAAATGGGTCTTTTTACAGATTTGTCGACGGTGAATTGGGCTACTTCTTGCAGAGCCATTTTCTGTAAAATCGCCTCCCAAACTTCGAGTTTGAACTTTTTGCCTAGCACTATGTGCAAAGGGTCTCCGGGGCCCATTTTTCTCGAATCGTCTATGAGAGTTTTGTTTTGGTCGCATAATTTCGTTTGAAAATGGAAAAATATCTAAAGAACTTTGGGTTTTTGATGGTTGTTTTTAATTTATATTGATTTATTTACCTTTGTACCGTCTTTGAAAGGTATGAATTTTTTGCCTGCATAAATAGTCTTTTTAACAATATATTCTTTATCTTCTGACATTGTGTTTATTTATTTATAAATTTAAAAATTTCCTTTTTAAAATAATATGTAATACAAAAAAACAAATGTTTTTGTTTACTTGTCAAAATCAGAAAAAGAAGAGTTTCTTCACTGGCAGCGTTGTAACCAGTCTATCTTTGTCTAGTTCATAGAAAATCGGAATGGCTGTCTCATAACGCTGGCAGATCAGATGGATCCATCGATGCATAAAAGAATAAGGAATTCGCTCTTTGTTTCATCGAGGTATCAAAAGTAACGGAATATCAGGCTGATTCCAATATTCCAATCCAAAATCAATTATTTCCAATTAAACTTATTCCAAAGTGTTGTCAGCTGTAGATGATCAAATAAAAAGGTGAAAAATCATAAATGAAATGATGGACATTGATGATTTCCATCAGCTTTTTACAATGTCAACTTAAGAACAAAGAACACCGTAGTAATCTTATGGAAAATGGCTATTGATGAAATTGTCTGAAATTTGGATATGTTGTGCTCAGAGACATTCTAAACAAAAATTATCATGGCACAAAAAAAATCCAACGAGGCATTTTCGAGCTATGATAAGTTAAAAGATATCAGGGCATTTATTCTCGAAACAGGGGAGCAGCGTTCTCATGAGACTTCTGTCTTCATCGTTCGTATTCATGTTTCCATAACACTGACAATGACAGAGCAATCGTTCTCATAAGAACGCTGTTTGACCACATTCACGAACAATTCACGTTTCTCATGCAATGAACAACAAGGATAGTTTATTAAGTTTTCTGTAGAAAGAGACACATATAATCACCCCCAAATAGACCTATCTATTTTACCAGACAAAGAGGTAATAATACGAAAACTTTATTAGATAGAAAAAGACGCAGAACGCTTATTGCGCAAGACGAGGCAAAACATACCAAACCATGTTAGACTTACGTATAGCAATCCCTTCTTATTATTTGACGGGATAAAAAGGGAAGGAGAATAACCGCGTGACTGCAACGTATTTGTCAATCAAAAACACAAACAATTGAAAATCGATCACTTGTCAAGCTACGTAAAGTTATTTTTCAACCATAATTCTGATCTTTGTCAGACCACGGGCAATAAACAAGGACAAGGAGATGCCCAGAACGCAAAAAGAACACCTCTCACCTGTACTAGTTAGCCAATAAAAATGCATTGCCTCGTGTTGCGCGCGCATACAGGTAAAAATAGATAGGTCTATTGCTTAACACGATTTTATCACAGGAACTAAATCTGTTTTTTTTTTTTTTAAAAAGATAAAAGTCAAAATGACATTGTGTTGGCAATACAATGTAAAATTGTCAATGCTTTCAAATTTTTTTTCTACAAACGTGTTAAAAATGCAATTTTTAACACCCCCCTGTAGCATTAAAAATGTTACTTTATAGCACTAGTGCCATAAAGTCTTTATAACACTAGTGTTAAAAATTAAACATCAAATTTTGAGAGCGAACGTCAAAAAAAAATTGTATTTTTAGTTATTTATATTGATATTAACGGTAAAATTTGAACAACCGAGGTAGCCCGATTGGCCGCCTCATCTATATTTTTCAAGGGATCGATGCAATCCTCTTTTTCTTCTGTATTTTCTTGCATTTTCAGCACTTAAAAATACTACTAATCACGACAGACTTTCAAGAAACTGACTAGACATTTCATTACCTGTAAAACAAGGTGCTGGTTGTTTGGCTTTTTTGACGAATGTCAAATTCAATAATTTTATGTGAGAAAGATGCTTCCAATTTATTATTCATTTTGAAAATCCAATTTGTTACTGGTTATTGCCGTTTGTAGAAAAAATATTGTATGATATTTGTGTTAAAAGTATTTTTAAGGCACTTATGTGAATTGCAAACTTTCACATGCGTGCCTTAAAAATGTACTTTTAACACTTACATCATAAATAACTATTAGTTAAAATCTGTTTTTTTTTTAAGATAAAAGTCAAAATGACATTGTATTGGCAATACAATGTAAAATTGTCAAAGCTTTCAATTTTTGTATGTAGAAAAGGCTTGTATTAGACGAGTATTATGGCGTTTCCGATTGGTATATTTAGTGCGGAACTAGTGCAATTTTTTCTATTCCTGTCTTTTTCTTTTACAGGTCGATTAAAAGGATGCAAATACACTCGGTGCGCACTAAATTTATATTGTTTTTTTCACTTGGAATTTGAAAAAAAATTTAAGAATGTGCCGATCTCCACGACTTCCACATTTAATGCTACAACACGTTGTAGGCATGTTTTTCGCGTTTTTGAGAACTATTTACTACTATTTACATACACTATTCAAATACACTATTTCTAACATTAATGAAAATAACAGTTTTAAGTGTCAGAACGCAAATAATTCACAATGAGCCCTATTTAAAGCATATACATTATTTGATGACAAATTTGATGACACATAAACAAAGGGTTTGTGTGCCTCTTGACGGCCATTTTAATTCAAGTTTGACAGCATCTTGGATAGTCTAATTGCCAACATAGTTACTAAATTTTTGACCTGGGGAATTATCTTTAAAAAAAAATAGACTTTATTTACTAAATTTTTGACTTAGAGAATTATCTTTAAAAAAAAAACAGACTTTAAGCACCTTTAAGTAAGGTTCGTTTTACCAGGGTCAAGGGCGCCCACAGGGAAGGTCAGGAGGGGTCACTCGACCCCCCCTGGAAATTTCTTAAATTTTAATTATTTTCTATATATATTATATTGTAGGTCCGATGATGCTCGTATGAGCGAAACGGGCATACTTGAATTCGGCCACAAACCAGGTAGCTGCAGTAATCCTACCTTTGAATTCGACCAAATCATGAAACCCAACCTACTTCCCATAAAACTTACAGATTTCGCATTGCATATGAGTTAATAAATCTAAAAAAGTGTAACTATGTATTATGATGCGCAAAATAAAAAGATCTACCAAAATGACTATGGAAAGATTCACAGGCATTTGTTTTCTTATCCAGGTCTATCGAGTCATGTGCCATGTGTCGATGAGATAATCTGAAAATTTAACTAGCACTTCGTGATTCGGCTGAATAGCTAGCAACTCGAAAACCAAGAAATCGCTAACTTCTTGATTCTTCAAAAACATCATTCCGAAACAATTATGTAAGGATTTACCGATTTCTGAATCTTTTTTTTTTATATTCAATGCTTAAGCCTAAGTTTTGGATATTCCTCTACCATGCCTGAGATTTTAACTATTTATAAGAAGTAAATAAGTTGATTTAATGTCTATATCTCAGTGTACCGATTTGCATATTGATAAATTATCACCCTTTCCTTATTCCGGAACTGGTGAATTTTGTGGCCGAGTTCAAGGATCCCGGAGCTAAACACATGTCACTATTAAGTGAATCAAATAATAAACAATCTGTGTGTTAAAATGTGGCTTTTCAAATTATCTTTTTGCTTAAATTTTGCATTGCAAGTGTCACATTCAAATGGATAAATATCCGAATGTGTTAGTTTGTGAATCTTTAAATCGGTTTTCCATTTAAATTTTGATTTGCAAGTGTCACATTCAAAAGGATAATTATTATCCGAGTGTGTTGAAATGTGTGTGTGTTGAACCATGGGGGCAATGGGGGCTTGAGCCCCCATAGTGAATTTCCTATGGGGGCAGAGCCCCCATAGTGATTTTGGTATTGTATGTAGTGGGTGTAATGGGTAGGCACAGAAATATTGAGTTCCTGTTCCTAACCATTCATTTTTATATCAAACTTGTGTGTTTAATGTTTTTGTTGTTTTTGCTATACCTACTTCAACAAACATTTTGAATATTTTGTTGTGTAGTATTCAAACCTCTATTTTCAATAAGTCGTTCTATTATTAATTCCTTTCCGTTCGTTTTCATGATAGGTATGTTCACATCACATGAATATATCATGATATACCAATACACTGGCTTTTTTTACGTAGTTTATCATGGACAATTTATATACAGACCGGAAAAGCTACTAGACACATAAGGAGTGATAAGACGAATTAGCTTGTACCCGGTTAAGGCGAATCGAACCGGTGTTACCCACAGGCGACTGGCGTAGCCAGGAAAGGGGCCAAAGTGATTCGAATTTGCCCCCTTCCCCAAAAGGCCTTTAAATTTTATCAATAATTCCAAATTGAAATAAACAAAGAATCAATTCAAGTCCTACATCAAGGACGTATATAAGGGGGGGGGGGGGGGTTTGTGGGTTCAAACCCCCACCCATTGAACTGAATAGTTTTTTTTTTTTAAGAAAAATAAACGTTTTTGGGCATGGAACCCGAAAAAATTAAAGCTATAGGTACCTACGTCGTTGTCCTACATGAATATTCAAATTCATACATTTATAATATAAGTAACGTTCTACTATAAATTCTTATCAAAATTTGTTTAAATGGCCGCATCCCCGCCATAAGAAGTTTCAAAAATATCGTGAAAGAACCCAAAAATTTCGCGCCTGCGGCGAAGCTGCAAGGATCACTTCTGTCTGTCTAATTAATTCTACTTATATTAATTTTTGGAGCCCGAGCCCACATGGTAATTTTGAAATTCCGGCGCCTATGTTGAAATGTGCCTTTGTAAATTACTTTTCTTCAAATTTTGCCTTGCAAGTGTCACATTCGAATGGATAAATACCCGAATGTGTTAGTTTGTGTATCTTCAAATCGCGTTTCCGTTTAAATTTTGATTTGCAAATCCCATTCAAAAAAATTAAATATCCAAGTGTATCAATATGTGTTCCTTCAAATCGCCTTCTCTTTTCAATTTTGCATTGCAAATGTTACATTTGAAATTCTCCTCATCCGAGTGTGTTAATATGTGGCTTCTCAAACTACGTTTGTGTTCAAATTTTGCATTGCATGTGTCACATTTAAAAGGATAAATATCAAACTGTGTTGTGTTTTTTTAAAAAGATAACTATCGAAGTCTGTTGATATGTGACTTTTCAAATTACCTTTTTGTTTAAAGTTTCCTAATTTAAATTTTTCTTTAAATTTTGCATTGCATATGTTGCATTTAAAATTCTTCTCGTCCAAGAGTGTTAGTTTGTGTCTCTTCAGTCTTCAAACTGCCTTTTTTTTTAATT